TAAAGGAATTGCCCACCTAGCAACGAGGATTGTTTTGATAAGTTTGGATCCACGGAAAGCTGAATGATAGATAGCGGAATAAATGCACGGCCCAATATCTGTCGTTGGCACCACTGTTGTTGTTGTTGTTTTTGCTGTACCATTTGTAGACGTGTTAACCATCGTGACAGAAGTCGTAGTCGTAGTATTAATTGGGCTACCACTGTCTGCATATTCCATTCAAATTAGAATTAAATTTAATAGTTACTAAAGTTATTAGTTATTTATATATCCATACAGTTAGTCCTCCCTTCTCCGCTCATACTGCATGGCACAGACAGGGGTGGTGTAAAGGAGGTGGGAGTGAGGGGGGAGAGGGGGAGGGGAGAGGAGGGAGAGGAACGGGAAGAAGTGGCTATGCCTGGGCTTTAAATTTTGAGTTGCATAAGTCAAAATTACCCGCTGTTTGTTTGACGTATTTGCACCGTTATTTTTAACGAATCTACTACAATTCATTAAGAATAAAATTTTTTCATTGCAATTTTTTTTGCAGTGAGAAACTGTCGCGGATGATCCGCGAAAAACTAAAAATTTGCGGTTTGCTACATAAGATCAGCTTGAACGGCGCACAGCAAAATGGCATGAGATTGGCATACATATAAATCGGACATAAGTGCTCCAGTTGCTGTGTGAAGCAAAAGACGGTGGTGTAGTGGACAGCACGTCGCGTATGGAAGAAAAGAGGAGCGGTTCAATCTCTTTCGGGTGCACAGTCATTCGCAAAAGGGATTTCTCTGGCAGAAGTTGCGCAAAAAGTCAAACATCCCATCTTGCCAATAGGACCCAAAACTCTCTGCAGCCATTGATTCATTCGACGGTAAATTGGTACTGGCACATGCCAACAGAACCAAACCCGCGAACTAGTTTGCTTCTAAGCAATCTAGTTTACGGGTTTGGTTCTGTAAGTACTTACTGATAAGAAGCTATCAGCACATTTGCAAACAAGTACTTACTGTTAGCAAGTGCCACCACTGAGGTTACTTCTGAGTGTCTCCACTCCTTCCCGTTGAGTAGAATCACAAAACAATGAGGACAAATCCAACTAACCAGGAGGTACAGTTGATGATTCTGTAGGAGTAACAGTTGTAATATCTGTGGAAGCAACAGTTGTTGTAGTTGTTGATGTTGTACTCGCATTACTACGTTCATCAGTAGTGTGACTACCAGCGTTATCATCACTATTTCTA